GAATGGAGCGTCTCGTTTGCAAGTAAGTGAGGTCCTGATAATTCCTTGGGCCTCATGTGGGTATAAATCATCACTTTCGTGGCTGAATAAGATGTGAGTAACTCCCCCAATGCACTGGACGAGCCCGTAAATTGTGTGTTCCTTGGCTCACAAGACGGAGCCGCGAGTCTGATGAGAGAAAACACTCGTATTTCAAACAGCAAATGGGAAGTGTGTCTTTGCATGACAAGGTTCTTATAATTATTACTAGAGGCTCAGTGCACAAATTCGTGCACAGGCAGGGGGTCCCTTGGCCTCGCTGGCGATCAAGACCGATCGGGGCCGCGGGAGGTTGGCTGTGGGAGCGCACGGACCACCGGGGGCGCAGTTCTTGCATTGAGTGTCTGCCCCTGGTGGTCAGTGCGCGTCATAGCAACCGGTCGTTGGGTTGTTCGGTCGCTTAGGCTTTTATATATATAGATTTTTTTTAGTTCTCACCCAGTGTATTTTTTTAGTTTTTTTATTTTATTAATCCTCACTCGAGGAAATTTTTTCCATTGCTTCTTAGAGAGAGTGGACAGGAGGAGGACACAGACATAAAGAGTGAAACATCCATGAAAGAGAGATGTATGGATGGGCTGCCTCCTGCACACGCCCCGACCAGGCCTCAGGAACCTGCAACCAAGGTACGTGCCCTTGACCGGAATCGAACCCTGGACCCTTCAGTCCACAGGCCGATGCTCTATCCACTGAGCCACACCAGTCAGGGCCAAAATCCACCTTTTATTCCTGCATCTCACCAGGGTTATGTTTCCTTTCCTTTTCTTTTCTTTCTTTTTTTTGTTGTTGTTGTGAATCCTCCCCCGAGGATATTTTTCCATTGATTTATAGGGAGAGACGAAGAGAGAGGAAGAGACAGAGAAAAACATGGATGCGAGAGAGACACAATGATGGGTTGCCTCCTGCACGTGCCCCAACCAGGGTCCAGGCTGGGGAGGAGCCTGCCACTGAGTTATGTGCCCATGACCGGGAATCGAACCCGGGACCCTCTGGTCCGCAGGCCGACGCTCTATCCACTGAGCAACACTGGCTGAGGCCAGGGTTATGTTGTCAACACTCAGTACAGCAAAAGGTAAACTTTCCATTTTTCCGTGAGCAAAGTCCTAAAAGCAAGCTTTTATTTTTTATTATTTTTTTTTACCTCTTTTCCTTTAAATAAACAAGAAAGGGCAACAAAAAACGTTTTAAAATCACTTCAAAAACAGTTCAAAAAACTTCCTTCACGCATGAGCCCGATGGATCAGAAAGAGTCCCCGTGTAGAGCTGTTGAATACCGTTCGGCGTGAGGGAGGGATCGATTTCTTTTCGAAATCTAACCTTTTTTTTTTTTAAAGGTTGGTGGTTGTTTTTTTTTAAAAATATATTTCTATTGATTTCAGAGAGAGGAAGAGAGAGGGCGAGAGAGAGAGAAACATCCATGAGGAAAGAGAATCATGCATCGGCTGCCTCCTGCATGCCCCCTCTTGGGGATCGAGCCCACAACCCAGGCATGTGCCCTTGACCGGGAATCGAACCTGGGACCCTTCGGTCTGCAGGCTGGTGTGCTAACCACTGAGAACACCAGCCAGGCCTGGAGATTTAACCTTTCAACCCCCCAGCCCCCCCCCCCATGCACACTGGAGCGTGTCCTTGAACAGGAATCGAACCCAGGACCCCTTGGTCCACAGGCCGATGCTCTATCCACCGAGCCACACCAGCTAGGGCTAAAGTTACTTTTGACATCATGGACTTCTGATGTTTTCGGTTCCATTGTAATAATACGGGAGAGTGATTTTTCATTTCTTTTATGTTTCCGTTGTTTAGACAAAAATATTCACCAAAAATCGACTTAGATTGTACTAGAGGCCCGATGCATGAAATTCATGTTGGGCGGGGGTGGGGGGTCCTTCAGCCCAGCCTGCGCTCTCTCACAATCTGGGACCCCTCGGGGGGTGTCCAACAGTTGGGCAGTTGGACATCGCTCTTGCAATCCAGGACCCCTCGCTCCTAACCGCCCACCTGCTCGATCCTTATCGCTTGGTTTGCAGCTCCTTAGCGCTGCCATGGAGGTGGGAGGGACTCCCGCCACCACCGCCGCGTTCGCCTCTCCAGCCGTGAGCCCGGCTTCTGGCTGAGCAGCGCTCCCCCTGTGGGAGCGTACTGACCACCAGGGGGCAGCTCCTGCGTTGAGCGTCTGCCCCCTGGTGGTCAGTGCGCGTCATAGCGACCGGTCGTTCTGCCAAAACAGTTGCAAGGGCTTTTATATATATAGTTGGGGTCTCTTTGAAAGCGTGTTAGCATTTCATTAGAACTCAAGTTACTTAGCTGCTGGCAGTTAGGAAAAAATGGAAACCACAAGGTTAGGAATCCAGTTACAGCTCTTCTTGTGACCGACCGACAGGGGTTGACTTTGGGGGTTGGGCACATGGTGTTACATACAGATTCTGTAACATTAGAAATCCACCCGTGAAACCTATATGCTCACGTTGACTAAGGTCACCCCAGTAAAATTTAATTTAAAAAATACATTAAACAAAGTAACTATATATGTAAAAGGCTAATATGCAAATTGTTCACTCGGGAGTTCGAATGGGAGAGCAGGAATTCAATCGCTCGCTATGACGTGCACTGACCACCAGGGGGCGGCGTGGATCATGGCGGGCGACCAGCGGTAGCAGCGGGGCGCTGAGGGAGCAAGGGGAGGAGGAGGCGGGGAGACAGGGCGGCGAGGCTTAGGGACCCCACCCTGCATGAATTTCGTGAGCCAGGCCTCTAGTAATAATAATAACAAATTGTTACCTGCAAAGTAAAAATAAGAAAAGAAATTCAGAAAATGAGAAGGCTCAAAATCTAAGACTGTTTTCCTAAAAAAACACCCACAAAAACCAAAGGATTTTGAGTACAGTGGGGCCTTGACTTACGAGTGTCCCGACTAACGAGTTTTTTGAGATACCAGCTGTCTCTCGGCCGATTTTTTGCATTGAGTTGATAGAGTAATTTGAGTTAACAAGCTCCTTAACGAGCTCGGTCTCGGAACGAATTAAACTCGTAAGTCAAGGCCCCACTGTATTTTACCAAATCTCCAAACAGCACAACTGTGCCCTGGACAGTGTGGCTCACTGGTTGAGCACCGACCTAGGAACCAGGAGGTCCCAGGTTCAATTCCAGGTCAAGGGCACATGCCCGGGTTGCAGGCTCCATCCCCAACCAGTAGGGGGCGTGCAGGAGGCAGCCAGTCCATGATTCTCTCTCATCATGGATGTATTTTTCTCTCCTCTATCCCTCTCCCTTCCTCTCTGAAATCAATAAAAACGTATTTAAAAACAAAAGCTCAACTGTGTGCCAACACATGGGGCGATGTGCATGCGTAGGCTAGAAATGTGTTTTCTACAAGTCCAGACTCCCTCCTGGCGTCTTGTAGAGGTGAATGTTCCCACACGGGCACGGAAAATAATTCTCAACATAAACCGAGAGCATCAGGCGAGACGTGTCCATTTCGAGAAAACATGTTCGGCCATGTTTCACGTTGGACACGGACCCATTCATCCACCTTATTGCATTTCTAATATTTAACCGTTAACCGCACAGCCACATCCAGGTCTCATTCTCCGAACCGCAATATCCAATATCCAATTGGGCATCGGCCCCGATGCATTTTTGCCTTGAACACTAGCACTGTTCCATAGATCGAGGGATAGTCTACTCATGAATTGTGCAACACAGCAGGCAAAAAAACAAACAAACAAAAAACACAGAGGTCATCCTCAAAATATATCCCCCAACGACATATATTTAACACCCAGTTTGAGAAAAATGAACAAAATACAAAAATTATGGGCGGTGAGCTCGAATGTCTACGCACTTAGCCAACGTCCAATCCCAACGAATCGCAAAATGTTCCCACGTTCAACCAAGAGTTAGTAAATTCCATATCATGCAAAAGCCATGGGCCTGGGCACCACACACCCATTCCTGGGAGCCCCCAAACACAGCAAAAGTCTGCTAAAAAATGAGGGAAACATGTTTCTGACAGGCCAGACGCCATCCGCCCGCCACGCGACCACGAAACAAAGCCAACATCCGTGGCCCTGGCCGACCATTGCCACAGCATCGCCCATTCATACCCAAATGCTTTGCTCACGCCCATGGCCTCTCAGACTGAACCCCTCGAAAGCATTCAAGGGGGACACAGCCCCCGCACCTACGTGGAGTGGAGGCTTAAAGTGGGATGTCCCAGCGATGGCCACCTGGTCAACCTCACAACATGCAACATAGCAGCATGGCCATCTGGTCGACCTCATGACACGCAACACAGCAGAATGTCCATCTGGTCGACCTCATGACACGCAACTCAGCAGAATGTCCATCTGGTCGACCTCATGACACGCAACACAGTAGAATGTCCATCTGGTCGACCTCGCAACACGCAACACAGCAGAATGGCCATCTGGTCGACCTCATGACACGCAACACAGCAGAATGTCCATCTGGTCGACCTCATGACACGCAACTCAGCAGAATGTCCATCTGGTCGACCTCATGACAAGCAACTCAGCAGAATGTCCATCTGGTCGACCTCATGACAAGCAACTCAGCAGAATGTCCATCTGGTCGACCTCATGACACGCAACTCAGCAGAATGGCCATCTGGTGGACCTCATGACACGCAACACAGCAGAATGGCCATCTGGTCGACCTCATGACACGCAACACAGCAGAATGGCCATCTGGTCGACCTCATGACACGCAACACAGCAGAATGGCCATCTGGTCGACCTCATGACACGCAACACAGCAGAATGGCCATCTGGTCGACCTCACGACACGCAACTCAGCAGAATGGCCATCTGGTCGACCTCACAACATGCAACACAGCAGAATGGCCATCTGTTCGACCTCACAACACACAACACAGCAGAACGGACTCCCGGCTGGTGGCCGCCGGTCCCTGCCCGGATGGACGGACGGACAGCGTGACTCACCTAAAATGCCCAGCCGGTAGTTGATGGTGATGACGATGACGTTGCCGTAGCTGGCCAGGATGCTGCCGTCGATGATGTTGCCAGTGCCCTCCATGTAGGACCCGCCGTGGATGTACACCATCACCGGCTTCTTACTGCTCTGGTCGTGGATGTCTGGGGAGAGAAGGGGAGGGGGGACAGGCGGTGAGGAACCTCGAGGAAGGACGGATGCCCAGTAAAGATGTGGTCCAGGCCCTGGCCGGTGTGGCTCAGTGGATAGAGCTTCAGCTTGTGGACGGAGGGGTCCCGGGTTTGATTCCCGGTCAAGGGCACATGCCTGGGTTGTGGGTTCGATCCCCAGTAGGGGGCGTGCGGGAGGCAGCCGGTCCATGATTCTCGCTCATCATGGATGTTTCTCTCTCTCTCTCTCCCTCTCCCTTCCTCTTTCAAATCAATAAAAAAATATATTTTTTAAAAATATATATATATTATTATATATATATTAAGGATTTAGCCTGGCTGGGTGGCTCAGTGACTTGGTTGGTTGGAGCATCATCCAATACACTAAAAGGTGTGGGTTCGATTTCTAGTCAGGGGGCCCACAAAGGTAACGGGTTCCATCCCAGGTATAAGCCCATACGGGAGGCCCATCAGGTGAGGATTAAAAAATAAATAAATTAAGAATTTAGCCTTAGCCCGTGTGGTTCAGTGGAAAGAGAATCGGCCTGCAGACCGAAGGGTCCCGGGTTTGATTCCGCTCAAGGGCATGTACCTCGGTTGTGGGCACAACCCCAGTAGGGGGCGTGCAGGAGGCAGCTGATCGATGTTTCTCCCTCATCGATGTTTCTAGCTCTCTATCCCTCTCCCTTCCTCTCTGTAAAAAATCAGTAAGATATTTTTTTAAAATGTGATAAAATGACACACGACTCCCCCCTCCAGATAACATGATTGAAATGCTACCTCTTTTCCCTGGAAACAGACACTCTCCTTGTGGTTTTCAACCAGTGGGAACCCTCAGTGATTGCTTTCTTGTTGTATTTATTGATGGATTATTATTTTTTGTGTGAATCCTCCCCCGAGGATATTTTCCCATTGATTTTCAGAGTGAGAGAGAGAGAGTGGAAGGGACAAGGGAGAGAGAGAGGGAAACATTGATGTGAGAGAGAAGAGAGACACATTGATTGGTTGCCTCCCACAGGCACCCAGTCAGGGCTGGGGTTCGAGCCTACAATGGAGTTACGTACGTGCCCTCGATGGGAATCGAACCTGGGACCGTTTGATCTGCAGGCCGACGATGCTCTATCCACTGAGCCAGACCGAATAGGGTAATGTTGCTGTTTTATTAAACTAGAGGCCCGGTGCACAAATTCGTGCACGGGTGGGGTCACTCGACCTGGCTGGCGATTGAGGCCGATCGGGCCAGCCGGCCAGGGGAAGGGACCGGGGGAGGTTGGCCGGCTGCTGGTTGGCTGTGGGAGCGCACTGACCACCAGAGGGCCGCTCCTGCATTGAGCGTCTGCCCCCTGGTGGTCAGTACACGTCATAGCGACCGGTCGACTGGTCGTTCGGTCGTTAGGCTTTTATATATATAGATGATGTGAAAACAGTATTTCTCAATGGTCTTTGAGGACAGAGATTCAGGGAGCCATGATCGATGTGTAGAGAATCAGTCTGTTTGGAAAACAAAGAAACAAACAGAGAAAAAGGCCACCCCTCTCCCCGCCCACAAATAAAAAAGTCCCTCCAACGTGGTTCACAGAATTTTGCAGTTCACACACGGAATGCAGACCGGAGATCAAAAATGCAACACGAACTCACAAAACCACATTCGGAAGGGAGGGAAGAAAAGACACATGCATATGTGTGTGTTCAACGTTCAGTTCTCTTCTTGTGGCCAGGCTAAAAAATAAAAATAAATTTAAAAAAAAGAAAAGAAAAAGTAAAAAAAAAAAAAAAGAAAAGAAAAGAAAAAAATACAAGAAGTGGATTTTCTTGTCAAGCATATTTTGCTGATTCACTTCGTATTTATAAAGGACGCGTGTACACGTCTTCTCACGGGAAATGCCTGGGCCGTAATCGCACGGTCAGTGGGATTAAAAAATGACAATGGTTTGCAAACAAGAAGAAGTACGCCGAGGCGTACGAATTTTAGGTCAAGGGGGGAAAAAGCAGGAGGAAATGGAAAAGAAAAAAAAAGAGAGAGAGATAGATATAAACTCATGCATCGAGCTCAGGAGGAGGGGAAAAGAAAAAAAAAAAACAAGAAAAAATATACCTTCGTCGTCCCCTCTGTCATTACTGGTTATATCATCTGTGTTTCTCTTGCTGTTGGCTCCTGGCGTCAGACCGGAAGGAAAGTAAAGGGAAAAAGAATTCAACACCAACAGGTTGGCAAAAAAAAGTTCAGAAGAGAGAGAGCTACCACCCAGTCAAAGAGAAAAAAAAAAAAAAGAATAATGTCACACAAAAAAGTTAAAATCTGTTTCCGCTGGATTTCAAAAAAAATAAAAATATGCAATAGGGTGATGCAACGTGTGAAGAAACAGAAAACATGTCAAGAAGAAACGATTCGGAGTGTTATTTGCAAAAAATAAAAATTGGGTATTTTGAGAAAATGCACTTTGGGGGGTTTAAAATGAGACAATTGCACAGAAAAAAAAGAAAATAAGCTAATGGGACGTTGAGGGAAAAAAAAGAAATAAAATTAAATTATCAAAAAGGAGATTTCTCCAATCTTACATGAAATGCATGTAAAATCCCCAATGGCTTCGGCTTGTCCCACGGAATCACCTAGATGCATTCTTTGAAAAATGTCACTTTTTCGCTTGGATTAAAACGAAATTCCACCACGGACACGGAGAAACACATTAAAGCCATAAACCACGGGGAAAAACGTCCATCGACATAGCTCAAGGTGGGCGTGTGCTTCCGGCGTGAGAACTCAGAAACACACCGTTTCCGGTAAAAGCCGGGAAGGTCAGCGGCCAGTTTAAATCATGGCCACAGACAGACTACCTATTCTTCCCGACGAAATTAAAAATAAAAACTCACACTAAGATTTTCAGTAAGTATTTCCTAAGTTGGAACACGGGGAAGGACGTTGGCTATGTTCGAAACCCTTCTTAAGGCGTGGCTTCAAGGTTCCTGCTGTTCGAATTTGGGAAAAATATGAATAACAGAAGTCACCTACCTTGGACAGGACACACGGAGGCCCCATAGGAATTCGCATGTAGACACACTGTGTGGAGTGAGCCTTAACCACACCAAAAACTCCTACTATGTGCTCAGTACATAGGGCGTCATTATGGCTTTTTGGTTTTTTTTTTAAATGTATTTTTACTAACTAGAGGCCCGGTGCACGAATTCGTGCACCAGTGGTGTACCTCGGCCTGGCTTGCGGGATCGGGCCGAAACCGGCTCTCCGACATCCCCCAAGGGGTCCCGGATTGCGAGTGGGTGCAGGCCAGGCCGAGGGACCCCACTGGTGCACGATTGGATCTGGGAGGGACGCGGGAGGGCTCCAGGGCGTATCCGGCCCATCTCGCTCAGTCCCGATCGACCAAAACCCAGCAGCAAGCTAACCTACTGGTCAGAGCGTCTGCCCCCCTGGTGGTCAGTGCACGTCATAGCGAGCGGTTGAGCGGCCTTAGCATATCATTAGCATATTACGCTGGCCAGGCCGAAGCGCCCTACCCATGCACGAATTTCGTGCACCGGGCCTCTAGTTAAAAAAAAAAAAAAAAAAATATATATATATATATATATATATATATATATATTCTTAAAAAGCAAGCCAATCAAGTCTAAATGTGAGGGTTTATGCATGGGCTCTAGTTATATCTCGTTTAGCTGTAGGGTACCCCTCATAAATGCATACACATTCTTGTCTGATATCTCAAGGGATTTTTTTCTTGTCTGATATCTCAAGGGATTTTTTTTTTCTTTTCAGATTGAACCCAATAGAATGAATAAGTAATCAACTTGTATAGACATTTTGAGGGACAACCCTGTATATTTCCATCCATTTAAGTATCCTATTGGGTTTTTATTTTACGATTTTATTGAGGTTTTTTGTTTGTTTGTTTGTTTTTTAGGGAGAAGGGAGAGGGAGAGATAGAAACATCCATGATGAGAGAGAATCATGGATCGGCCGCCTCCTGCGCGCCCCCTACTGGGGATCGAGCCCGCAACCCGGGCATGTGCCCTGACCGGGAATCGAACCCGGGACCCTTTAGTGCACAGAGATGATGCCCAACCAATTCAGCCACACGAGCCAGGGTAGAGCCCTACAGTCTCCATCACTGTAACTACACGGTCCCTTTCGAAACACGGACGCTAACCTACCCCCATAGCCTCCTCCTTTTTCAACAGATTTATCTCTACAACTTCTATCTTTCCAGGCAAAGTTTCAAAATGAGCTCGGTCCACGGACGACGCTCAAACCCCCTGCTGAGACTTTCATAGAAAATTATCTGCCAGACCGCAATTTCGAATTAATTTCGCGTCGCCCAGCCTGACCCACAAGCAGAATGAGGTATCGCCTTTCACGTTCTGTGTAAATTTAATTTGTGGCCCTCTTGGTCTTTTCCTGGCAAATAAAATCACTTCAACGGCCCAGAAGACAGCCGACGGCTCTTGAGTGTTGAATTCGGTTACCCTCCTGAGCTATGCAAACGCGGGGATGAGACGAAACAGGGAAATAGGTTTTGCGGGAACGTATTCCGGGGTAAATCCCCCATAAAAGCCATGTCAAATCCTCCTCCCTCCTCAAATCCGCCCTCCCTGCGAAATGCCCAATAAAAATCAATGAAATCTTAAAATAATATCCTGTCACTTCTAATCACTAGCACAAGCGTGTCAAACTCGTGGCCCGCGGGCCTTACGTGGCCCACAATGGATATTTCTGCGGCCCGGCCAATAGGACGGTATGCAAGAAACGTTTTAATAAAAGTCTCGTCACTTAATTTTTTTTTATTGATTTTTTTTTACAGCGAGGAAGGGAGAGGGATAGAGAGTTAGAAACATCGATGAGAGAGAAGCATCGATCAGCTGCCTCCTGCACACCTCCCACTGGGGATGTGCCTGCAACCAAGGTACATGCCCTTGACGGGAATCGAACCTGGGACCCTTCAGTCCCCAGGAGGACGCTCTATCCACTGAGCCACACCGGCCAGGGCTCGTTACTTAATTTTTACAATATCCTGTCGTACATAATTATGAGTAAGAAACTACAACGTTTGCTAATGACCGATGACTGTCATCGTGTTGCATTCGTTTCTCTTACGCGCCTTATGCGCAGGTGCACCGTCTCTCCCCACTGATACCAGCAGAGAATGTTCTAGCAGCCGATGGCCGCGTCCTTCGTCTCAGATTGACTTGGGTAGTGTGCGCAACGGGAAATATCTCGCTTTCGGAGAACAAGAAAAATAGGTTTATTTGCATGACGTATATTCATTTATGCCTTTATTTCGTCTCTGGTTAGTGAATGTTCAAGAAAAAGGTATTAATTTTTATTAAAATGTTCTATTATTTTTTTTAAATACATTTTATTGATTTTTTACAGAGAGGAAGGGAGAGAGATAGAGAGTCAGAAACATCGATGAGAAAAAAAACATGGATCAGCTGCCTCCTGCACGCCCCCCACCGGGGATGTGCCCGCAACCCAGGTACATGCCCTTGACCGGAAATCGAACCCGGGACCCTTCAGTCTGCAGGCCGACGCTGTAACCACTGAGCCACACCACCCACGGCCACAGGGTTTATTATGGGTCATATATATAGATTTTTTTCTTTTTCTTTTTGCTTTGGAAGACACAGTCTGAGAGAAGAATGGCAATAATCAATGGTGTTTTGTTTGGCTAGAATTGGGAAGGACGCATTTCGCACTTTCTTCCGGCAGGAACGGAATAAATGTATAAAATGTGATAGGTCTCCGATAGACGGCTGGGCTTCTTATTAAAATCTCAGGGCCTGGCAGCCAGACTAACACTAAGCAATTTCTTTCTTTTTTTTTTTAGGTTGTAAAATTTGTTATCGAACCATTTCTGTTCTCGGGAATAAAACGCAAATCCTATTAGACGTAGAGGAGCCGAAAGTTCCGCGGATGGAATATATATATCTCCCCTCCCCTAACCACCGTCGGCGGGGGCCCGAGATGAGATCACCATGTATTTAAACACGGGAGCTGATTTAATATTGAATTATCGCCGACATTCCCCATGCACTTTTTTTATAGAGAAAACCGCGTGTTGAAAATGAAATTGGCTTTTATGGGCCCTGAGATGCACGTTCTGTAATGGTATATTGAAACACACCCCCACAGAGACGAGCAAAATAGAGATGGAATAGAGAGAGAGAGAGAGAGAGAGAGAGAGAGGGCAGATAGCACAGAAGAGGGGGAGTGGAGTGGGCCTGTGGGCAGGGAGCAGAGGGAAAAATAATACTGAATGTGACTGTAATTGAAAAATAAAAAAAATAGCCCAGCTGCTGTGTTTCAGTGATTGAGCGTTGACCTATGAGCCAGGAGGTCACGGGTTCGAATCCCACTCAGAGCACATGGTCGGATTGCGAAGTTGATCCCCAGTAGGGGGCGTGCAGGAGGCAGCCGATACATGGTTCTCTCTCATCATGGATGTTTCTCTCTCTCTCTCTCTCTCTCCCCCCCCTTCCTCTCTGGATTCAATGAAAACAAATTTTTTAAAAAAAGAAAGAGGCCTAATCGGTTTGGCTCAGTGGGTAGAGCGCCGGCCTGCGGACTGAAGGGTCCCGGGTTCGATTCCGGTCAAGGGCACATGCCTGGGTTGCCAGCACATCCCCAGTGGGGAGCGTGCAGGAGGCAGCTGATCGATGTTTCTCTCTCATCGATGTTTCTAACTCTCTATCCCTCTCCCTTCTTCTCTGTAAAGAATCAATAAAATATATTTTAAAAAAGAAAGAAAGAAGAAAGAAAGAAGAAGAAAGAAAGAGAAAGAAAGAAAGAAAGGAAGAGAGAAAGAAAGAGAAAAATATATTCCATATATTCCCCAGCCGATTGCTTCAGTGGTTGCCTCCTGCAGTCGCCCCAATCGATGTGTGTCTCCCACATTTGTGTTTCTCTCTCTCACTCTCTCTCAAAATTAATGAAAAAAAATATCCTTGGGTGAGGATTACCAACAGGCAAAAAAATATCCTATATAATAAAAGCCCAATATGCAAATCGACCGAAGGGCAGAACCACCGGCCGCTATGACATGCACTGACCACCAGGGGGCAGACGGTCAACGCAGGAGATGCCCCCAGCGCACAGGCCCAGGCCAGCCAAAAGCAGGTGCGAGTGGGGTCCCCTTGATTGCCCAGCTGGTCACCCCACTGATCAACAGCCAGGCCTGGGGACCCTATCCATGCACGCGTTTCGTGCACCGGACCTCTAGCACCGAAAT